GAGAAATGATCAGGCGGTGCTCGTTGAAGAGCATTTTCCAAATTTAAATTGTTTGAACATTTCTAATCTATTACTCAATTCTTTACTTAAAAATAAAATAAAGTAACTTGAGTTTAACTAATCTCATTTGTTTTTAAAATAAAATACTAAAGTAATGAGTAAAATATAGAGTAATTGTTGACAAAACAAAAATATAGACTAGTTAATACAAAAGATTTTTTTGAGAAATACCCCTTTTTAAAAATGCTTATTTTTCAAAATCTTTGCAAAAATATCACTTTTTAAAAAAAAATTCAAAAATACCACTTTATCAAAATCATTTACTCATCGTATTATGTTTTAGTTTGGAGGGTTTAGGGTTTGTTAAAGGTTAAAACTCTTTTTATGGTTTAGAATTTTAAGATTTAGGCTTCATTAGTGGTATTTTTGTAAATGGATAACCATTATGACATTTTTTTAATAGACACGCCAATAGTGATATTTTTGCATTTTTCCCTTAAAAATTTCTTATTTACAGTAATCTTTTTTAGTCAATTTTAGAATTAGAAATATAATAGAATCCTAAAATAATCATTCCTCGAATTCATTCTTATCTACAAATGACGAGATAAGAAAACGAAGATTGATTTGACGGGGCATAAAACAAATTTTTTTCTTTCTTTTATTGGTATTTATATCCTTTATTAGTTCCATAATACATACAATATATCTAGTTAATCGATAAGTATATTCGTGACAAACAAACAAATGATTGGAGAGAATTTTACTTAAATTATTTTTTATAATTACAATAATAATAGGGTTAGAAATGCTTTTAGTCAGTTTAAGAATTATAAATATAATAGAATCCTAAAAGAATCATTCTCCGAATTCATTATTATCTACATACGAATAGTTTTTTTTCTTTTATTGGCACTTATATTTTTATTAGTTTCAGAATATATACGATGTATCTAGTTAATCGATAATTAAAGTGTATTTGTGACAAACAAATAAAGGACTTGAGAGAATTTTACTTAAATTTTATGCTATAATTAAAATAAAAAAATAGGGTTAAAAATGCTTCTATACTTGCAAATAATGATACTACTTTCTAAAATTGCATAAACCTTCAAAATTAATATCTAATATAGATCTGAGACGATTGGTCAACATAATAAATACACAAAATTTTATTGTTTGGATAAAATTAAAGACATACTTAAGAATTTCTTACAAAATTCACCGGGCTTAGGGGTTTTCTTTCTCTTAATTCTGGAAAAATGAGGTCTACATTTGTCAGAAACTTAAGAGATGGACAAAAGTCCAGACAAACACGACTCACCTTGATGGACCTATTTGTTTCACTGATGAAACATGGCTAAAGGACTCATGAGCTAAGTATAGTTTAGGATGGTGTTTAGGGTGGAATGCCACTTACCTTTGGGAAGACT